TTTTTTTTTTTTTTTTAAATTCTTGATAGGCCAATTCCGTATGTAACTGCTATAACTTCAGCAGAGAAGAACCAAACCTCACAGAGCTATCTTAACTGGGAAAGTTTAAAGAGCAAACTGAGTCAATGGTAGGTGAAGCCCTGAATGAGGGCTGAAGCAAAGAGTTCTGTTAACTGGAGTTCTTGATGCTTGTGAAGGCAGGCAGCCTGAATGCAAAATCCTGTCTCTGTCAATAGCTTTGTCATGGAGTTTCTTCTCTCAGCCTCATTGTTCCTCTGCACATAGGGTACTACTACTAACCTCATAAGGTGGTTGTGAGCATTGAATGAAGCCTGTAATACACTTGACCAAATGAGCACTCAGGCAAGTGCTAACTGTCATTATCTTCATAAAGCATGTGACCACACTGAAATTGCAGATGGAAAAATCCAGCTCCTGCAGCCTACCCTGTGATGTGTGAGGGTGGACTAGCTGTGTCACGAATGCTTCCCACCCCTCAGACAGGCCCTGTCAGTACAGGGCAGGGTGAGTAAAGACACAGCAAGAGGACCCTAGGAAGCCTAAGAGCGCCCCCAGCCCACCCCATCCCGGTACCACAGTGAGATCTGGTGTCAGCCCGTCTCAGCTATTACCTCCCTCTGCTCCGCCCCCCAGGCCCACACAAGCATGCTGTGTGTGGCCCAACAGCCACTCTGGTTAACAAGATCTCCTAGGTGGTCACACACTCAGTTTTGATTCCCCAAAGTAAAATGACCCAGGGTAATAAAAGCGATTGGGGAGAGTAAGGCACAGTGAATTAGCTAAGTGGCTCTTTATGGCAGCTGATGGAGAAAGGGAGTCCCCCGTTCCCCACCTTCCAGTCAGTTGGTTAAAGTCCAATTGATAGGACTGACTTAATGGTGTTTACCTTCTCCCGGTGGGGTTCACTCTTGAGGGCTACTTGCCTCCCCCCGCCTTGTAAAACCCAAGCAAGGGTGATGTCATGGGGCAACACCTGTTTTTATACTACACACTGGCTACCCTCTGGTCACCAGGCAGGTTTGTAATTGTAGCCAGAGCGAGACTGTCGCTCAGGCCTGTTCACCAGACTCCATTCTGGACAGCCTCCGGGAATGTGAAAGCCAAGCTGCTATGCAAAACAGTTTCTCTAGCCAGAGGAGGACTAAGGCAGGGAAGTTTGTCAGAGTCCACCTAGGATGTGCAGTGGAAAAACCACGGTAAGAATGGGGGCCCAGGCCCTCCCTGGTGGCACAGTGAGTTAAAGCACAACAATGCAGGCTAGCCACAGCCACTTCAGTGTGAGTTCGATCCCTGGCCCCAGAGGTGACCTATATGGCACGGCAGACCTCTCCTGTCTTCCCTGCTACTCCCCTCAGCAGTGTACTTCGTGGGTCTGCCTGTTCTGCTTCTCACTATGTCTCTGGTGAAGCCTCTCACCACCCCTGCACCTCTGGCCTGTACCCCAGTTCTGTATGCATAAATAAATCTTTAGGAAAAAACAAGGACCCTTTCTTTGGAGGCACAGGCTAATTAATGTGTGCTCAGGAGTGTATGAAAGTATTTCTAGTTAATTCTCAGGGAGATTATCAAGCTGGCCAAATAGCCATTCCTGTGTCAGTTTAGAGAAATACAACAAACTTTGCAGGCCTGGAGTGGCTGCACCAGGCAGCAAACCATCACCCAACTGTAAGTGGTGTCATTGCTTCTTCAGGGTCAGAGTGGGTCCAGGAGTCTCAGAACCAGTGCCCGACTGGTGTAGGTCACAGGCTCTGAATCTGCCTGCCTCGATTGGCACCCCAGCTCTGGCCCTTACCTCAGGGTGACACTGCCTCAATTTTCTGAGTCATAACATGAGGACAATAATAGCACCAAGTGCCATTGTGAGGCGTCAAGTTATTGATGGGAGAACCATGGAAGTGAGTCTGGCTGCTGGTAAGTGCTTCGTGTTAACAACTCCTAGGTGATCTGCCTTTTACGTCCCAGGCATGCAACATTTCTGTCTGAGATTTTGAAACATGAAGAGAATGAACTCCATCCTGTGATATGCTGAGGGTTAGGTGTATTTAAGTCCTTAAAGGAGAAGGAAACATATATTGAAGGTCAGAAGGCAGTCAAAAATATGTTCAGTTTGTTTTCTGAAGGAACTCAAGCAAGACTACAAATCTGTAAAGTCCTAGCTTGAGAAATGAAATTTACCCTCACTGATTGGATCAGAACCATTAACTATTACTATGCTGGTTACATGGTCCCATTTTCCATCCTGGTTTCAATTTGCATTTTTTCAGTGCCAGCTGGCCTGTACTATTGTAAACACAGAGAAAGTACATGCTTGTCCTGGGCCTGCCTGGTGTCTGCTTGTCCTGGGCCTGGTTCCAGTGGGGAATTCTGGTGGGGAAATTCTGGCTTTTCTGCCATGCCTCACAGGGGCCCCTTGAGCGGAGCTATCTGGTAAATGAAGTGGGGACACGCCAGCCTGTTGGCTCTGTGTGTCTGGGGCCCACATGCTCCCGTGTGTGCCCTTTGTGTGAATACATACACCCAGCAGGATGGGTGTGTCTAGACAAGTGACCCTGACAGTTCACAACCAGCCGAGCTAGTTCCCTCTTGCATGTCAGCTGCATCAGCAGACCTGCCTGGCTTGGCGCCCTCACTAGGGTGGTTTCCCTCTGACGTTCACCGCAGGGGTGGGGCCCTGGTAACCTACAACCTTCTCTGGGCAGAGGTGTCCAGCATAAGTCTCTGATACTTTTTTTCCCATAAATGAAAGGCCAGCAGGGGTGGAGGGAAGAAAGAATACCGTGTTAGGAGCTCTACGCCAGAACTTTCTATTCGAACACTCACGAGGAAGGGTAGAGCCTCCTGCCAAGAAAAACAGAAACCTGATGGCACTCACTGCAAAGCAACAACTGCCAGGGCCCATTGAATCGTGCAGTCTGGTTCAAGAAGGAACTACACAGGCATCCCACCACCCACAGCCCTGTCACTCATCACCAGCCAGAGGCACCCAGCTGGCAGTGTGGCACCCATGCTTGAGAGCTTCGCTGTTTCATAGCTCCCAGTGCCATCAATAGCTGCAGATGACAGGGACAGGTTGGGGACTAAAGGATGGTGGCCAAAGGCTTTGGGCCTAAAGGCCACCAGCTGAGAGCAGTGGTTATGGGAGACATGGTAGGGGACACTGGTTCAAACAACTGGACCTTGTTCTGCCCAAAATGAGTCCAGGTCCCCCTCCTCTGTATAGAGCAGTGTAGGAACATGCCTCATGAGGCCAGGAATTGGTCTTCGAGCTTGCTGCCACACCCTAGCACTGTGCCTGGCCTATCTTGTATACCTCACTCGTACACAGATGCCCCCAGCAGTCATTCCTCTGCACTTT